CCCCAAAACCCCAAAACCCCAAAACCCCAAAACCCCTGTACAAAACTGTATAATTGATATTTACTCGAGTGATAACATGGCAGACTTGAATTTTGATGAAAAGGAGGATATTGAACTTAAAAAGAGAGAACAGAATGAAAATATATCCAAGATTGAGGATGATTCTGATGAAGTATAAATCGATATTTAGAAAACTATAAGAAAGTTTTAGATTCTTAATAAAAATTTATATGAGGATAAACAAGATAGTAAATCTAGGTGTAGTTTATAATTCGATGAAATTAGGGTGAACTCAAGGTAGAGAGGCAATATTTAGTCCTAAATTTCGGCAAATGATATCTTATCGATTAATTGTTAATAGCATAGTCAAACCAAAAGCATCCAGAACTTTTTGCAATTTCACTCGATAAACAAATTAAGCTAACTGAAACTTGTTTAAACAAATTATAATATGCTCATTTAAGAGTCAAGACCTAGTCCAAAACCTTCTAAACAGGAGAACAGACTCTTAGGGGAAACTTCTCATCATATTCACATTGCAGGTTTCAAGAAAAGGTTAGTACAAAGTTCAAATTTAAAAATACTATGATAGAGTTTAAGTATGCAAATTTCTCTTTATTTAATATTTTCAGTTTACTTTACCCCAAAAGAGGTCTTCTGAGTGCATCTACAGTCAGATTTAATCCAAAAAGATTGCACTCTTTAACTAACTTGATAATGAGCTTATGTCTAAAATTATAACTTACATAGTCCAGAGGAGCTCTGCAAATATACCATTTTTCCAATGATGAATAACAAGGATGTGAACCTCCCAAAGGTAAAATCCTCTTAATGAAGAAGAGAGCATAGTCTTAATATAGGTCAGAGGGGTTGAACAAAATCCTGGAAAGGAAAAGACTAAAGATGACATTAAGCCAACTGCAATGGATGTAAATAAAGTATTAACCTTGTAGTCTCACGAGGTCATTTATGAGAATCTAGATGCTGATTTTCAGAAGAGCTCATATAAGACTTTTACAGTTCTGAACTGCTGAATTACCGGAGATATTAGCTGAAATGGTAAATTTAATTATAATGGTAGTCCAAGAGATGAGAATACATGAGAATGATCTCAGAGGAAAGAAAATAATCCAAGATACGAACATTGATACTAAATTAAGTATCGTATGTCCAGAAGCTGAATTATATTTTATCCCAATTGAGACATCAAGTGACCCTCAAAAAGGCAAAAACGAATTATTGTGAAAGGTAAGTAAAGATTCTGGCTAATATCATCATTTATAATCTGTACTGTGATAAAAATTAGATTATTTAAATCTTCTAGAACAGAAAATTTACTCTTTTATATTTTCACCTTTTTTTAATTTTGGGCTACTAAAAATGCTCTTTTATATAGGAAAAATCAAAAATTGATCTTAAGAGCAATACATCAAGCAGTTCTATTTCAAAACCTCATCGAATGATGCTAAACAAGACCTTTTTATATCCAAACCGCTCTTTCAATTCGAATCGCCATCCAACTCCTAAAGCCTTCACTTCCTCTCTACAACGTTCCTTTACTAAGGCCAACAACATCGTCAGAGCAAAGAATGTTTTAGAAGAGTTAAAAGAAGAAGACTGCGATGATGATGATTTCTATTCAAAAGGAAATCTAAAAAATTTGCTAACATAGCCCCAATAATAACTTCCTACACTCAAAAATTTCAAAAACTTCATCTTCCCAAAACCCTTCGCTACTTCCAATTTTCTGTTACAAAATTCCACTCAGTCAAAAATCTCCCACTCAAGTCCTATTTTTCAGAACCCTGCTCACTTCTTATCTCTTCCTTAATTCCTTCTTCACAGGTTATGCCTAATTCCCTGCACAAAATCTCCAAATTTGCTTCTGGCCAAACCCATATGGAGCCTTTGCTCTATGAAAGTCTTTGGCTTGAGTCTTGGGTTTAGTGGTGACAGGAGATTTGATAGGGAATGGGGGTTTTGAGGGTTGGAAGTGGGGAGCAGGGATTGTGTAGGGGTAGAAAGAGGATTTTGAAGGGGAAAGAGGTGCTAGGGGGAGTTTTAGGGGTTTAGGGGAGTTTAATGGAGGAAGTGGGCCAATAATTTTGGAGATGGAGGGGTTTTGGGGTTTTGGGGTTTTGGGGGGGTTTGGGGGGTTTGGGGGGGTTTTGGGGGTTTAGGGGAGTTTAATGGAGGAAGTGGGCCAATAATTTTGGAGATGGAGGGGTTTTGGGGTTTTGGGGTTTTGGGG